CCCCTAAGTCCTGCCAACTCCCTTTTCAATGTTGTTTTGTCTGTTTCAATGTCTTATATCTATCCACTTTGGATTTATTTCCAAGTATTCCTAATGTCATTTAAAACACCAAATTTCCGAATGTTCTCCAGATGATCCGTGGCTCTGGAGAAGATAAGGGTTTTCAGGAATTCTCGGAAGTTAAGGCGAAGATGTCCACTTACATATCACTCGGAAACGAAATGAATCTGACTTCATAGAAAAAGGTCTTCAATACATACAATCCTCTATAGATATCAAAAACGGTTATTGATGTAAACAACTCAATCTCAAACACATTGAAATTTCAGCACCACTTATCTCACGCCATAAGATGACTTGATAACCCCTACTTCCTCTGTCTCTACCTTCTGCTCATTCGTCTTCTTTCACTTCCACACAGTCAATGTCACACAAACAATGAAATTTTCAAGAAACTTTTAATAAACCAATTAGATCGCATAAATAGTTTCGTAGCCCACCTATACAAGACAACTAAAATCTCTTGACACTCACACCAAAGAATTCATCACTACACTACAGTCTCTTCCAAACCTAAGAATCAATTCAAGACAGGCAACCTCCCCTCAACACGACACAACCATGAATGACCACAATATCCAATTCCCGCCCTCTCGCACGGAATACATGATCTAACTACAAGATCATGCAACTGTATTTTACATCATCAACGATGAAAATAACAGTTATGTTTGATCGGAACAGTTTCCAACATGAAACACAATCCTCGGTTTCTCGAATTTGAACATGATCTTCTCAAACTATATCAAGAACATGATGAGGTCCACTAATATCTTCTTTCTCAACAAGGTTTAGTTGCTGCTCGGAAAACTCAAGTCGGATAAGAAAATTCTCTTTACGTTCGTTTGTATCAATGCTCAACAAAAACAATAACAAAATAACAAAAATTATCTTCAAGTGTACTCAGCTTCCTAAAACCATTGTTTCTCCTTCCAAATCATCATCGTCATCATCTAAGCCATCCAGCAAGTCTGCTACTTCGTTCAAAGTTCTCTGCAAACGAATATTTAGAACAGAACAGATATCCAAAAAAACCTGTTGTTCTTGCGTATTCAGTTGAACCCGATTATCCAAACCTTCCGCAATATCTTTGACCTATAAAAGTGATTGTACCAGAGTAAAATAGGTATGATCCTCACCTGTTTTTCAATAAGTTCATCTTCATCGTTCTCTTGCTTCATGGCGTCACTAGTAAGCGGATTTTCCTGGAACACGCGTTTTGAAAAGTACACTTCCGAAAATGTCTTACATTGAGTATAACACTATTCTGTTGGATAAAGTTTTTAGGCTCTGGCAACTCGATAGACGGAGCGATGAGTTCGTCAGGGTTTGATTCTCTGCAAATGTGGATATCACGGGGGACGATGGGATTTCAGCTCACCTTGAAGTCAATAAGTCAGGGGTTATTGTAACTTCAAATCCATTAGGCTTAATATATTTAGCACGTTTTTGTGAGTCATCTTTGATTACATCAGTTATTAAATCTGATAAGTTAGTTACGCGTTGCATAGCTCTATTGACACAATCCTTGATCTGAAACTCGACAAGTTCAAAAGATATCTCAAATCGTTACGGACAATGGTCGCTGTCAAAATCATTTCGGTAGATTGATGCAGTGCACAGACTTCTTTCCTTTTATTACAAGCAACCACTAAGTTCCCAGTTATACACTGTGTTTCTTTGTTTGTTGGATCGACTAGTATATTCTTTCTGAAAGCGGATAAGCGTTAGTCCACTTCATTACAACTTACCCATTTTCAAGAAATCCGAATGTCACACAAATAGGCATATGGTAAATATTGAGTGGGATCAGAGGCTTCTCCCATTGGGAATGCTATTTCGAAACATAATTAGAGAGTTGAAAAGAGAAAGATATTACCACAATAGTATGATGGGGCTCAACAGTAACTTGAGGTCTTCTGAAATGATGAAGAGCAGCAACTGAGGCAACTGAAGCACAGTCAAGAAGAGAACCGTCATCATCCAAAATTTTCACATCTACCCGTACACACCAGACTTCCTTCTCGGCGCGAACACATAATGACTGAAAGTTAACTTTTTGATCACTTTAAAGAACGAATACAAACTTCAGTATCTACACAACGGGAATCTCTCAATACGAGTTCTAATAGACGAGTGAGTTCCATACCACGTTCTCCAGCTCTGTTATGCTCACAAGCTAGAAAAAATTCAAACTCTCGATGATATTGCGAGTGTCTTACCAGGATTTCCCATCGGACTCATGTCGACGTCAACGTAAATCATTCCCCTATGTGGTTTACTTTTGTGGGGCTCTCTCAAAACAGCACTGACAGAACAAAAAACTCTGAAGCATCGACATTAAACCAATGTCATCATATTGTAATAACTTTGTTAATCCCATGGAGCATAGTGCAGTACCGCATTGAGAACCTACAATCAGCTTAACGGGTCGAAATTCTTCTAGCGTTCTGTTATCCAGTCGCTGAAACAACAGAGAATGACGGTTTTCAGATGCATACTAACCAAGCCCTCATTCAAACTCTCAGTTATAAAAGTTTTTTCACAGTTTGACAGCGGATCTTGACGCATCTGAACAGCGGACATAACATACGACTATGACAGTGTGCATTAAAATACTTTTGAGGTATAACAAGTTTGAGCAAGATTGGTTGAAATCAAACAATTCATTTATAACAAAGATTTAAAGATGAAAATAAAAAGTTGAGATTATAATGCGCAAACAAAAATAAAGCGAACAATCTTAGCAGTCTTGATTTTTAAGCGTATTAAAATTGATCTTCAACGAGTTCTATGAAGTTGGCAATCACTTGGGCTTGGCAGATGATAACTGAGCAGCGATCTTCTGTTGGAAGCTCTCTTGGAGAATGGAGCGAGAACGTTTCTTGTCAGCAATATGGTTATCTACTATATCCAACTGGAAACAGATTTTAAGAAACGGATTTTGATAAGCGGCTCACTTGAGTCTTAATGTACTTCTTCTTACGCTCGAAGTATTCAACAGCTTTTGATCTGGTCATCTCAGCATAATAACCTGTTCCAATTTCAACCAGCATCAAAGAAGGATCAGACAATTCAGCTCGAATGTACATCTTTAAAGAACAAGCAGATAAAAATAAGTGTACTAGAGTGGAAACATACGGATTCGGATAGGGGAATGAGAGTCTTTTCTCCAGCAGGGGTGTTTTCCAAGTTTTCCAAAGCGAGTATGCTTTTTTGGTTCTTATCAATAAACATCTTCAAAACAAATATATAAATAGTTCTAAATTGTAACAAAACCTTGAGTTGAGCAGCAGATTCCGCGAAGAAAGCATATTCTTGTTCAACTTGCTTTTGGAGTTGGCTCAACTGTTCAATACCCAACTCATTGATGGGAATAGTAGTAGGATTCCTTCCTTGATCAGCCATGGTTCAATACTTCTGAAAAGAAGCTAACAGTTTATAACAGAACTCTTAATATGGAAACAATAGTATTGTAAATCGTTAGCAACTATTAATATGAAATTGTACGCAATTAAACTACGTCCAACATTTAACACGGCACGGCCAAATTTAAGTTCCGAGTTCACTAGTGTACGAGCGAATACTATTGTTCCTCAACCGAACAGAAGGTACAGAGTATCGCAGACAAACAGATCGGTTGTATTTTCATTAAAATATTAGGAGTTTGCGTGTTTTATAGAAGTATATTAAGTCTCGTATGTCTATAGATATTTATTATTCAAGAAGGCTCAAATCTATAAATCCTCGTTGTCAATAACCTAACGCTGCGTTAATAGCCTTCAGTAGTGGGAACGTTCCGTTACCACAAGAACCGTAATAATCATCAGATCCTTAATTGTTTTTATATAAGCTTACAAATTGAAGAACAAACCAATGTCGTATATCATCACACCAGCTACTCCAGACGCGTAAGCGTACAAAGCTTTCTGTTTCACGCTTTTTTCGTTTTCAAAACTGATCCACGTTTTGTCATTTCCTTAATATTTATAAGGATTGGAAAGCTCTCGAAGAAAATCGAACCATAAGCATAGGGTGATGCAGCTCTATTGTTCCATACTTGGAAATAGTTTCGCGTATCTTTCAGTAGTTCACAGACCTCAATAATGTTTGATAATGAGTCGTGTGATATGTCACCTTACGACAGCTCTTTTGCTCAATGTGTCGATCGTTTTCTCTGCCAACGCAAATGGTTCATGGAGGTATTTGTTTACCAGTAGATAAGCTCTGCTGTATGTAGGTATTCCAAATAATGTTTTATTACTCCACAATCCCATATTCTTCCATTTGGCCATTGAGGCTTCCTTTATCCGGATATGAAGTATAAGTTTTGCTAAAACTAACCGAGTTCATCTGCCCTATAATGCTCTGCTCTCCCTTCAGTTTGCGCAATGGTGCATTAAATCCAACAACAGGATAAAGATAAGAGAATATATGAAAATCGTAGTTCATAACTTGAACAAAGTCAACATATCTGGAAAAAACAAAGTAAGAACGGTAGTTGTTAGCGACCTGTACTTGTTCAAACTGTTCACATCATATGCCACTTTGGTGATTGTCGGTGGACCTGACACCGCTACTGTTAGCATGTATTTACCACCAAATTTCTCATTAATTTTCTGCAATGGGCTCTACATGAGCTTCAATCTTCTAATCACCATCAGAAGATCGCTGAATAGATGTTTGTCTGTTTTCTTGGCGTCCGCACTCCATGTTGGGAATTCCCAATCCAAATCAATGCCGTCGAATTGATAGGCTTCAACGTATGCGAAGACTTTATCCACAAAACGTTCTATAAGTGTCGGAGAAGAAACCTGAACAACTTAGTCATGTTTCATGAAATATTTCAATCTTACAAGCTGAGAGAAAGACGGATTCGCCCCTGTAATACAGATGATCAACTTAGAATTCGGAGAATATTTCTGGAAAAATGTTGGCTCGAAAATTTGGCAAACATCCTACTTTGATCGACTTGAAAAGCAAATTGTCAGCTACGTCTGGTGTTTCAAGCAAACCCAGTACATTTACATTAGCCTTGCCAATGAGTATTATATGAGAACATAAGTCTTTCTCTATTAATGAAACCGGAGGATCGTTCAACCTGAATAGACTTTGAAACCAGCGATAGATGATGAACTTACGAATAATAACATGATCTGAAAAACGTTTCTGCTAGGGAAGAACAGAGAAGAAGTAATAAGGGAAGCCTCATGTACAACTTAAATTATAAAGTTTATTATGGACATATTAATTATGGTCGAAAAGTCCTCCAACTACTATATAGAAGACTGTAAAACCAACATGACACAACCACGTATATCACAAAGAAGAGTAGAAAGAGAAAAAAAAGGTAAAAACTATAGTTGAAGCTTCGCAATTGCACAGGTAATATCACACATATATGAGAAACTGTTATTATACATTATCATGATAGTTAGGGCACAGATCTAAGAAGACATGTTGAGAAAAGAGAAGACCAATGATAACGAGAACACAAATGACCATAAGGTCAAACTAATATTCCTTTGTCATTTCTTTTCGTTCGTAGAACAGTAAATATGCTGCAGCCTTATCAACGTCCATCTCTGACACTTCCTGGAAAGTCATGAAAATCAGAATTTTTCCGAAAATTTTTCAGTTTACCCTGACTGAGCAATCATTAAGTAAAAGCCATTTCTTATCTTTTCCGATAGCATAACTCACGAAATGACCAGAAGATAACTGTCCATAATGGTTCTAAAAACAAAAAGTTTTTTTTTTCTTTTTTTCCCAACTAACCGCTATGGCTATACAGTCATACAGCCCTCCGTCCTTCTGATCAACATAGGGCGAGGGATCGAAATTACTCAGAGGGAAATCAATTGTCCTTTTACATTTACCCATCCGATTTTCGTTTCGTAAATATTCAAACCTTTTCAAATGTACAATCTGGAAAGTAGCAGATATCAGATTACTCTTATACTCTCTTTGACTTACTAAATACTTAGGCATCCTCCAAATAGACATAACCTTATCCCGTTGAGTTTTACGCTCACATTTGTCACAATGCAAGAGTTCTTCTAATGTTTCAGGACAACTTCAAAACAATACAAACTGTAAGCTACTAAGAAAGAGTAATGAATCACCTGAACTTCAGGAGGCATTCGCCAAGAGAAGAAGGAGCTACATGTTGATTCCATGTTTCATCGACTGAAGGATCATCAATACAGGCCAGCTCTTGAGAATGATTATACTTCAGATACAAAGCAATCGGTAACCAATCCACCGAAATAGTACAATTTTCCGGTACGTAAACCTCAAAATAAAGTTTGAGATCGAATTGAAACTTGCAAATCTACTTTCTGAGAGTCCGGAGATATCTTACATCCTCGACAGAAGTTCAAGGAAACACACTGCCCACACCATTCCCAACTGGCATCAGTGATACACAAACTGAACGGATATCCAGATGAAGCATCTTCACACCTATGTTGGAAAAATCAGTGAAGAGATCAAGCGAGAACACTTACGGATCCATTGCTCTATTTGTGAACGCTGAGGAAGACAAATCCATAAACCGCTTGATCTAAACTCAAACTTAGATTGAAGGAAAATAACTCCACCCTACCTGCTGCATAACGTCATCATACAAATCTTTGTTTGTTGATTCATCCGAACAAGATATTATTAAGGGGAGGCCAAACCTGGATACCAGACACCCTCCTGTCGAACCAAGAAGATAAGGCTCATGATTGGATTGCTGAAAAGATTATTTCAAAGAAAATTGAACAGAAGGTATACTCACGAGTTTCCGATGAGCACCTAACCTCCAGCTGACGGTTCCATCCGGAATTTCTAATGCATACAATCTTGCATTACTAGGAAATTCTCGAAGAAGTAATGAACTATCGATTCCTCGTCCATTATACTATATAACGCAAGTTAGTCAAGTTGAACTACTACTCTTAAACCAACCAATAATGTTCCTCGACTACCAACACATTGAAGTGTTAATGAGTTGACATCTATTTTGGATGAATACGAAACCATCGTTTTGAATTGTCCAACACTTGTCTCTCGGGGTAACCGGAATCCGAACCTCTTTGGAATACTTCCATCTCTCGGAGCAACTGAATGAACACAATTTAATGATTCTACATTTCATACAAACCGATAATCTGATAAAGCTCAACATTATCAAAGCCGATTGGGAGACTAATAGAGGTGTAAGGTTCAAAGACCGTCGAAGAGTTTTGACATGATCTACAGATCAGTCGGGAGCGTAATTGACCTGAAGAAGAAGCATTTGTTGAGAAGATAACAAGTAACGAACCAGCTAAAAGTCGGGAAACGAGAGAGTTCTCTCTTTCCAAGTATTTATTCCAAGAAACTTCAGCTTTTTCTTGATCAGGAGCATCATCCTTACATTCGATCTCATTGTCGGACTTCTCATTCTTTTCCTGAAAACAGTATTATTGAAACTCGCAAACACGATTGTTCCCTACCAGCAACTGAATGCTCATCTGGAGCTGATCAAGGAGGAAAGAAACAAACTCTTGACAATCATGCTGTTCAAAGGAATCGAACATATCAGAGGCATTTCGAACAGAATCCTAGCAAAAAATCTTTGAAAACTCGAAAATGCATAGAAAGCGCTTACATTGAAGCTGTTGGGAACAATATTCTTTTTCTTTCCAGCCCACAACTCTTGAATCAACTTCGCATACTCCAGCGTTACCGATAAGGATTTGCGGTTACAAAGTGAGAGTGGTGCTAGTATGTCAGCTCTTAAACTGAAAACAAAAAGAATGAACGAGTTAAAACTTTTAACAAACTTGTCCAATTTATCCAGATTATTCTCGTCTAAGAGAAAGTCTGTGAGGGGAACAATCCTCGCCAAGCACTGAATCGCAGCATTCCTATAGCAAAAGTTACCAGAGTTCACGAGTCCTACAGCACCAGGTCTTGCTAGAACAAATGTTGAGTAATCAGTTCACCTCACTCAGTACCTGAGTAGTTATTGCTAGCTATCGATGTAATTTGCGTTCCTGTCAAAGACGCTCTTAACTCCTCGGGCCATACCCCATTGCTTTGGTCCCGAACTTCTAACAAGAACTTAAAAGTGGCGATTAGGAGGAAATAGATAATTGTTGATCGGAACCTTGTTTACTTTCTTATTTCTGAGACCCAACTGATAAAGAGTTCTCTGTCCGTCATCAAGCATGGTATTGGCCTCTTCATTCGTATCTTGGTTTCTTACTACAAGCCACAGTCTAGCTTCTCCTTCCCTTAAACGAAGCTCTGTTGTGCACATTGTCAGTAGTTCATCAACAGTCATAGATCGGGAAACCTAAGCATCATGGTAATTTCAATCGAAACGATTTTCACAAACTTGTGCACAAGCCCAAGGAGAGACGGGCTGGATACCTTCCGAATCCCGGTTTTTCTTGCGGTCGTGCCCCATGAGGAGAATATCCAAAGGGTATAACTCTAATCCAGCTTTTCCATCATCGAAAAAGCTTTCGCTGAGACGTTTACGAGTGAATTGTCCGTCAACCTTAAAAAAATATGTTCTAATTGGTTCATCAATGGTCAACTTACAGAAAAAGCACTTCCATGCCATCTTAGCCAAGCCCTCCAAAGAGCCGGAGACACAACAACATATTCCGATCGTTGAAGATCACTACGCAAACTGGCTGATTCCGGAGAAATACAAGCAACTTTCCCACTCCAACCATCATCTTCTTTGGAGCCTTTGATGTAAGAATTATCTACTGGTGGAGGTTTCTTGTTCTGAACAGCATATGATACGTTGATGGAGCACAACTTTCCACCAACCTTCTCGGTAGAGAATTTCCAATCTTTATGCCATGTTGATGCGACAATGTTCCACACAGGCAGATTCAAGTCTCTCGTCCTTTCTTCAAAATCGCTCACAACATCGTTTTCGAGTTGATACGATTCTGGTCGAAGACCGAGACAAATATGTCCAACCTTCAATAGAACTTTAAATAAATCAAGAGGCGAGAAATTCGAACCTCAACAGCCATGCGATAATACTCCCTGGTATAGCCCTCATTCACTAGAGCCCAAGTAGCAAAATCAACCAGAGCAGCAGCATTGCCTCCGCTCTTCACAAGGTTCTGATCGTTAGGTAACTAAAACATCGAGGTAAATTTGTTTTCATAAAGAAAAAAAAACATACAACATTCAAACTCCTATACATTTCCTGAACTTCATGATCCAGCAATTCGTTGTCATTGTCTTCGTCCCATAGCTTCGCCAAAACTAGAAAAAAGAAGACGATGTAAACCGTCTAACCTTCCAGGATACATACATGATAGACGACTAGGAAGAGGTCCTCTGCACATAGCTGAGAGCCCACAAACTAGCTCTCGGAAGTCGATATGGCCGTCTTTGTTTTCGTCAAAAATACAGAACAATCTACAGATTAGTTAGTTTGCTATATTTAAGTTCTGAAGAAACCTTTCGGAAAAATATTCAGGGAAACAGCCTCCTAAGCATTCGTCCCATCTTTCTTTGGACATTTTACAAACAGTCCTATCACTGATTGTTGCGAAGACTTTTTCCAACTCCATCACCTCACCAACAGACACTTAAATGAAAATATCAGAAGGGAGCTTCAAACGAATGTATTACAATGTGTAACATAGCTCATAACCTCATAGAATGATATGAACGAATCATCCATTTTAGGTGTGATGAGAGGAGGACGCCAATTCTTGGATTGACCATGTTCTTTGCTGAAACCTACAGAGAAGCATTACACTAGTTGCGAAACAGAATTACTTTTCTGAACATCCTCAACCTGACATAGTCCTACTAACGCACATAGCAAATCTTCGAATGAGAGCGAATCTGCTCCACGTGTGAAGAACAGGAAGAGCGTTCTCTGCTCCTCGATAGGGATCGGAGCATTTCCTAGTAGATGATAACAGAAATCCTTAAACAATAATGCTCTATTAAGCTTGTAAGGTAGGACTCTCACATCAAAAGACAAAGCCGGTTTCTTAAAACGGTTAAAGGCTGTATGAATGCGATGATACTCCTCTCCTGTTACTGAAAAAATCAGTCTTAAGCTCATATTCTATATAAAAGACAAACAACGAGATCTCGCTTCTTCGACAGTCAGAAAATGGTTAGAGGTGTCACTAGTTAGGGTATTGCCCATCTTACTCTAGCTTTTCATAATTCTAAACAGCCATTTATAGCAGTCAAAATCGAGGCAAGATAACGAATGAATTGAAATCAATACGAGAATGTTTGATAAACATAGATTTTAATTCGAAAAAATTCATAACAACAGTTCGAGATTTGTATGTGGAAGAATCAATAATGAATAAAATTTTTACTATCGGAATCCCAAGCCCAATCCACGACCCATATGGGTGGTTTCACGAGCCATTGCATATTGTTTATCGAGATCAGACAACATACGCTCCTGCTTGTCTCTCTCTTGACGTAATTTTTTCTGATCAACCTGTAAGAATGAAAAAAACTTCTAATGTTTGACAAACGGTGAATCGATTTACCGTCTCTTCGGTTAATGACGTGGTATTTTTAATACCCATTAGTTTCAAGAATTTATTAGCTTGCTGACCATCTACACCAGTCGCAGCTATAGCACTGGACCATAATCCTGCATTTTTTGGTTGAGCTGCTCCGCCACTTGATGACGATGGTGCTCCTTCAGTCTTGAAAAATGCAATACAGAATGAGCAAAGTTTGTGTATAAACTTACAACTTGAGGAGCTTCGGTTTTTTTACCAGCCCAAAGAAGTTTACGTTGCTCTGCTATCTGATAATAAACGGTATTTATTGGGCAAGAAAATAATTTTTACCTGAGTTTGGTCACGGTTTTCCCAAGGCTTTCCGTTTCCTCGTACATTCCTCTCGCGTCGCCTAAAGTATGACTTTCAGTTTTGATAAGAACAATAACTTCGCACCAATCGTTACGCTCCTGTCTATTGTCTCGTTCACGATCCCGACGGTCTCCTCGCTCTGCTTCGTGTCTGTTTCGCTTGTCATCTCGGCGGTCTTGCTCTCTCCAGTTGCTTGATCCACTCTAAAGTTCCTCGGGACGATTTGCAGGAACAACCGACTACATATTTAACCATTACACACAATTAGTGAATTTGAAATAAGTTCCAAAAGTTTCTAACGTAAGTTTTATAATATTTTAAGAAAAGAAACTATACCCTGTCATCTTTACGCTTGTGTGATTCCCGATCTCGATCCCGACGGTCCTCATGTCTTTCTCTTGAACGACTTCTGCTTCTACTTTTACTTCGATCTCTTCTCTCTTTCTTGTAGTCCTTATTACGTTTAGCACGTTTATGCTCTTTCTCAGCCCTCTCTTCTGAGTCTACTTTTTCGTCAGCGGAATGTTTACTGAAAGAATAACTTTCGAATTTCTATTAACAATGATTACTTACGAGCTATCCAAACTCTCTTCTTCTCTATTTTTGCGATCGTGTTTCTTCTTTTTCTTTTTCTCTACGCGTTTTTCATGATCAGACTCATCAGAATCAAATTTTGTCTGGAAATCACATAACTAAGAAAACATAAACGGATACTCACAACAGTCGGCATTGCAACGAAGGCGGTTCAGAGTACGCTGCAAAACATAATTTTAATGATAAAAACTTTCTTGAAATCAACGAAAAAACTAGGAGCAATATGGGCTTTTACGAAATAGCCCTTAATGAGGACGACATACCAACAACCGCTCAATACGCCTACGCCTTGAAAATAAAATACTTTGCGTTTGTTCAGACAGACGTACGCAACAGCCTGTTATTACGTACGAGACACATTCTGCATAATTTACAGTAACTAATTAGAATAAGGATACAAGAGACAATTCAAAATTTTATTAAAAAAACATGGATATGGAGGATTAAAACAGTATAATAGTTAGATAAAACAAAAAAAGTTAAGAAATTAAAAAATCTTAAAGTACTTTAGGAGAAACATAGCTCACAGCTTTAGATGACAAAATCTCTACAGTTTCAAACTCTTTTTCTAAATACATATACAAATTAGAAACGTCTAACCTGAAAACAGATGAATGAGAAGAAGAAGAGGTAATGAAGGATTAGTGACAAGAAATTACGAACCTCATGTTATCCGGACCTCGTTCCACTTTGGGCTCGGAATCTATGAAATCAGTAGAGGTATTTAGAATATCAGTTGGGGCGTCAAGCATTGACTGAAACCAAGATTGTGTGTTGTTCCTGTTAATACACTTACTTCGGTTAGAACAGCTGATTGCTTAATATCTTGAGTTTTCTCTAGCACTTTATCCTCACAGTTGTCTAACTGGTTGTAGTTCGATTCTTTCATCTACAAGACTTGGTTGTATCGAATCAATTCAAACTTTTCAAACCTGAGGAGAATCAAGTTGAAATGAGTCTTTCTTTCTGATGTTTTCTTCAATAATCGAAGGCAGTTTTCCTGTATAAGATGGCAACTCAAACCCTGTTGAAAAATCTATAATACGAGGTTGTAGCAAAGAAGAACTTCGGTTGTCTTAAGTATTACCACTAGAGCAAGAATGAGAATGTCTACTACCCACTCCACCAAAAGTTTGACGTCTTTTGGGTTTTTGCTTTTCATCCCATCGTCGAATATCATTCCAGAATGTTTCTGATAGAGTTCCACCACCCGAATTCTTCACAACTGCAAAATGGACAAGCGTGTGTAATAATGATTTCATGAGTTACGATCTGTATCTGATTGAGATCTTCTACTTTCTTCAGCCAGCTTGGTTGAACACAAAGGTGGATCGAAAGAGCTGTGATCAAGCAACGAATGAACTTTTCCATCACATCTTAAATATCTTATTCATTTGATACAAAGTCATAAGTTTATTACAAAGCTTTAGGAGGTGGACATAAACTAACGGCTAACCCATCGTTTCGGAGCTATAAATAATGATAATTAAAATTTTCGAACAATACATACAGGCTGAAATGGTTGAATAGCAACAGGACTAATGATGCTTTCCTCCTTACGCGGTATTTCGTAGGGACGGTCATCCGCCGCATCGAAGGATCCACAGCATCCTAATCACAAGCATAAACAAAAAACAAAATTAAAACTTTATTACCTTTAAAACAACCGAACATATCGGAGAATTAGTTTTCAACAAAATAATCGACCCATCGTCTCAAAAGGCGGGATCAACAACAAGCAAAAACTACAAAAACACAAAGTACATTCTCTTTCGATCAAGCGAACATTCAACAACTAAGGCGACTCTCGTCAAATATTAAATAATCTTTTTTCCAATTAACCACAAAACCAATATTCACAGTTATGATATAGTACAGACTATTATGAATTGTTAAAATTTTAAAAAGGAAAAAGCATGGGGTTAAGGCCTGGTGCTGCCTTCGGTTGAGCCCGAGCTCCTCTTGTCGCCCGTCTTGTTCCTTGTGATCTGGAGAAATATAGTTAACACACAAGTTGATCTTCTGAAGCCTCACGTTTGAGAAGAACCACCGCTGCCTTTCTTTCTCGGCCTCGGAGTTGCTCGACCAACTTTACCTCGGCCACCGCCTCTACCAAATTTACCTCTAAATCGTGATACGGGCACTCTTGGAGCTAGACATCAGAGAACAAGCACTATTATCCTGATAACGTGTCATGCTAACCTTGACTACTGACAGGCTGAGACGGGATACAAGCAAATCCTCCCATTACTTCCTCTCTCTGTTTCAATTTTTCTAATTGTTCATGTATTTCAGCTGTATCTCTGGCTGAAACGGAACAGTGAGTACTATGCAAGTGATGACAGCGCTTAACCGTCTATTTCAAGCCAGTATGGTTTTAGTTCGCTCATGATTCGTGGGCCATACTTTTCAACCTTGTTTGCAGTCATTGTATCCGCTTGAAGTAAATCCGAGTTTGTTCTCGGAAGTAGAGCCGCTATCTGTGAGAATTGAAGCTAATAGGAATAATATGTGTTGTCAGTACCTGTTCGATGCCTTCTCTGGAAATAATAGAAGTACTGCCTGGCAGATTGTTTTCTTCAGCAATTTGAGTGATCAAGTTTTGAAGAGCTCGTAGACATCTTTGGAAGATGTCTGCATGCTTGACCATATGCCTTCAAGGATGAATTTTTGATGAGTAATGATACACTAAGCTACTTCTCTTTCAGCGCTCGAGCCTCGGAAACAGCGGTTATTCGTAATCCATCTGTACTGAATGATTTTCTTTTGTTTCCACTAGTATTGATATGTAAGAAGACCTACAAGTAGGATGAGTGTTCGATATCTGAAAAGCCTAAAGAACCTTAGCGGTTGCTTGTCCTTTAGAGATAGCTCTTCCTTTGTCTGTCAACTGAGCATAAGCAACTGTGAGATCCATTCGAGTAGTGAACAGTTTTTCGAATATATAGCCATCCACAACCTGAAAGTGTTCAGCTGTTCAGCTTTTTTGCCTAGAGGTCTCTACCATCTTTCTTATAAATCTCAAAGCATCTAAATCTGACATGCTGGCCCCTCTTCCATAGAAACCCAGATTAGTATGACCCAGACGCATCGCTTGTTCGCCAGTTTTTTTTTGCATTTGACCTCTATACAGCTCTGATAAGTACCTAGAATGTCAACTGATTATATGATAAACGTATTTGCTCACTTTAGTGTGACATTTCCCATTCTATCTAATGATTTTAATATCAATGTGGCTTCATCCGAATAATCAAACAACTTTAGTGATTCTGGATCTTTCTTCCGTTTCTCACAAACATCACAAGGTGTGCTACTGGTGAAACATGCTTGGGCATCATAAACCTGTAATCGGTTGATCATCCTCTAGTTCATGGAATCTACTAGCCTCTCCGAAATGCTCCACGAGCTGCTTTCTACGACAAATTGAAATATTCTCACAATAAGCAACTACTTGATATATGCTGTTCAAGTGCATCGAACGAACACCAACGGTACTGTCATCCACTGAAAGTGATTGTATAAGATGAAGCAAAGTTGGATATCAGTACTTTCAACCATTTTACGCAAACGTACTGAGTCACAATAACTGTAGAGCATGACACAATATGAAGGTAAACCATCACGTCCAGCTCTACCTGTTTCTTGATAATAACCTTCGATTGATTTTGGTAAACTAAACATATTTTGAGTGCTCCTGATCTGGTTCTTACCTATAATGAATAACAAAGCGAACATCTGGTTTGTCGATTCCCATTCCAAAAGCTATAGTAGCACAGATGACATCAACTCGATTTCCCAACCAACGATGTTGAACCTAAAGGAGATCATGGTTTCATTGAGAAGATACTCAGAACATACAGCAATTCGTTTTTTATCATCAAGTCCGGCGTGGTAAACATCAGCGGACATCCCATTTTTCGTTAAGGAAGCAGCTATTGTTTCACATTCTTTTCTAAGAAAGAAGCTCACTAGAGGAAGAGAATCGTTTTTACCTCGACAAGCAATAAACGATTCCTGACTTTCCGGGGTACAACTGTTTCAACCTCTCGATCATCGTTACCAGTGTTTTTGCCGCTTTCGGTACAATATCGTACTTGAGATTCGTACGTACGAAACTACTGATGAATAACTTCGATTGTGGAATTGCCAAATGATTTCTTGTATCTGTAACTATCTTTGGAGTAGCAGTAGCGGTCAAAGCCACAATCGGAACCTTAAGAAAACGTTATGGAGAATGAAGTGAACTCTTACTCTTGGGACCGCATAATCTCTTCTAAGAGATGTGAGCTTGGTATAATCAGGACGGAAATCATGTCCCCATTGAGAAACACAATGAGCCTCATCGATTACGAAGCGAGCCAAGTGATTTCTTTTGTGTAGTGTGGAGAACACTGTTGCCAATCTGGGAGAGGCACTAATCTGTAACAGGATAATGAAACCAGGACTGGAGACTGAATAACACTTTTTCTGGAGTGACATACAACAGCTTCACGAGCGGAGGATCCATAGTTAGCTTCTGGTATATAATATCCTGCTGCTGAAGAGTCAGTTCGGAGGTAAAAGCTTCGCAAGGAATCTGAAATGAGTCCAAGTCCCAAGTAATGTTTTACTCTTCTGATTACATCTAATTCCTTCATTTTAAATTTTTGGTCTTCAATTAAGGATTTCAATGGAGAGACCACCACAGTGACTCCCTCAGATAGAACTGCAGGTAACTGATAGCACAAACTTTTTCCCGCTCCTACAATGAAACAGATTTGGAAATCAAGCTAAACACCTGTTACCTGTTGGCATAAGAACGAAAGCATCATGTCCACTCAGAATAGAAATAATAGCTGTTTTCTGTCGGTGTCGGAACGAGTTGAAACCAAACTTTGCCTTCAGGGTGTCGTACAACTCATCTCTACGGAATTGGCCCAATACGGCGACTACATTGAACTTGATGTCAAAAAAAATGGCTGCTCTGCTGACCTTCATCCTCAAACTCTTCGCTATCATCTTTCAAGAATCCACGAAACTGTCCATGCATATCGTGACGTTCAGTTGAGACCTTAGTAGCTTTACTGGAGCTTGTGCTCGGCTAATATGCGTAATTAGTAATATATTTCACGATAAATCGAACCAAGTCTCCAACTACAATATCACATTCGTCGAAACTGTCATTTGCTGTGATGTTCGTGCTAGCAGCAGAAGTCTGAAACAAGTTTACACCGAAGTTATGCTATAGAATATACTGAGGAGATCATATCCGCTGGAAAACCGAACTGTCCAGCCATAGTGACATCCCCGACTTTATCTTCCGTGATTGGAATATCGTCGTTATCGAAAGACTAAATTATGATATTACAGTCTTTGAGTGGATAAAACTCACATCATCTTGAAATTTGGGATCGTCACGGGGATCGTCACAAAACATAATTTCCTCAGCATCTGATTCGTCAACGACATCATCTTAAAGTAGTGAAATTGCTGTATGATTGACTTCTAACAAATCTACCCATAGGTCTGTCTTCGATAATGACCGGACGACTGATCGGAGCATGCTCAAAAGAGGTGTTTACCCGAAAACTGTTGCGGCTCAAAGCAGATGACTGGACATTCTAGAACGATATCCATGAGGATTTTGATCTTGATGAACTTACAGGAGTATCGAACGAACTATTGCACGCATTGTTATCATAGGAATTCACTCTGTTAAAAGAAGAAGTAGCGCTTGGAGGAGGCTGTATTGCCGGCCTGAAGTTAGTACTGAAAACTTCTGTGAAGAGTTAATAAGGAATCAAAAAACCTGTTTGCTTCATAAGACTCATGAGAAGAAGGACCAGGCCTCTTGATAGGTGGTAATGGTGTCTAAAATCGAACATAGACTCAGAAAAGCTTCTCTTTTCGAACCTGAGCCACAACATCGTTGTTTAGACAGAAGTTATCCGCCTTGTACTCTATGTCAGCTCCAGAATGCTTCCCACCACAACACTATAAGGACAGTTTTCACCTGAATAATATGAAGGCGAAAACCTTGAATTTTGGAACAACGAAGTTTTTGCATGGTATCACGAAACGGAAACCTCCACATCGTACTCTTTCACGACATTTCACTGCATCATATTGAGCTTTGATACTTGCCATCAACCTATAGCCTTTATGAATTTTCACGAATTGAAGACAGGCATAGAATGGAGTACCTTTTCATTCTCAAGACTAGCCTGATTTAGTCTACGAAATCATTTATTATTTGAGAGTATAAGCACAAGTCGAATAGTTCAAGGGAGGTAAATGAGGATCACGGTAGTTAAACAAATGTATATGTCATTAAGCAATTTGAATGTTATGAATATGGTTATTAACAAAAAGATTCAGAAAAAAATGGCTGAAATGAAAAAAATCTGTCAGAGTATGAACATGTTAATAGATGGATAAACATCACGGCCAACAAAGACCTCATATACACTTTATCCACTGATCGACTTCTGCCACATTAGTAAATTCATAGTAGTTGTATTAATTGCTTCAATCCATACGTTCATATCACTCTTCGTGTCTGCTGCTAACATTACTCTGCAATAAATTCATAAGAACAATTCTGAACTAAGAGATTGACAAACCTTAACTTCTCCATTTCTGGACTACTTCTCTTCGAAGTTTGTATTTCCTTAGGAACCCAGACATCGATATGGAAAGAATTGGGATATGGACATGTTTCTCGGATAGTAGAAGCTCCATCACCAGCACAGGTTTGGAGATCTAGCAACACTAGCCATGTCTGAAACTCTAATAGATGAACGATCGTTTCGAAAAAACCAAACCTTCTCTGGATTAGTTTCGTCCTCAGGACACTTCCAGAACTTCATTTCTCCTGATTCCAATACACACCAATATCTGTTCCAGGATCCAAGACCTTCCTTGGTTCTTTGGAACATGGACAGGAAGCCCCTGTGGGGAGCACTAACTCGAGACACAGCTCTCCTATTTAACATCAGTTAGAATGCAATACTAAACTTAAAAACAAACTTTTCAACTCGTAGGCTAACAGTTCCATCAAGAGGATAAATGGAATCTTGGAGTTGAAGAATGTTTTGGCCGCTACGAACGTTTATATCAAAGATTGCCCGCCCTAGTCTGTTGAAGGCAACATCATGAATAGCACCTGGACCACCAGTTGAATAGTTCATTCCGGCGCGAGACATGGTCTGAACAAATAACATATGGAACTAGGACGAGTTTCAATACCGTACCTTATTACGACCTTGAGTACCTCGTAAACGGTACTTCTCTTCGTGTGTGAACTGTTCTCTGTGACCACGAAGGGCATAAACTTCTAAAGTACAAACAAAGTCTGGATCGAGAGGAACAAGCTCGATTGGATTTGTGTATTCCACGTAACAGTCCTTAAGAAAACACTTTTCAAATGTAAAATGTTTGGAAATATACCTTCTTCTTCATGCATTCATCCGATGTTGCGATAGTTGTAGCATGAACTTGATCATTAACTGTGAGAAGAACACAGAAATAGTAGATTGGGCCTAGAAACGCAGATGTTGTCAAAACATTCACTACAGAACGCTTACTCGATGTAGCAGAACTAGCACTTCCAACAAAATCTCGGTTAACATGGAGTCGAAGGGATCTAATAGTAATGGCACCTCGTGGTCCAGAACAACTGTAAATTAGGTACATATCCTAACAATATGCAAAGAAAATTGTTACCTAGTTCTATTACCGCGATTGAGTTTTTCAATCTGAGCTTGTAATGCCAGTCTTGTCTCTCCGGCAAGCAAGAGAGCCCGCTGTGCAGTAACTTCTTCCCGACTACCTCTAAACTCTTCTTTCTGACGACAGTGTTCCAAAGCTCGAGAGGCTTGTTGAATACGAACAACTTGAACTTTGATTTCTCGTTCCATTCTTTTCTGCAATTTAAACAATAACGGTGATCAGAATTTAAATACATACAATCTTCTCGTCTGTGTTCTCATCGAGGTCTTCGCCGTGTACCCCACCAATGATTTGCTGATTGGGTGTCTGATTCAAACCCGCGTTCAAATCAATTTTTTCACAATCATCTTCAGATTGCATGCGCCCTCTTTTACGATAAAACGATATCGTGTATGGTAGTCGGGATCCTTGAAAAACAATGGCTCGATTAGTCTTCCCTTCATTGGCGCTTACCTTTCTCTTCTGATTCTTCAACACATGCTTTGATAGCAGAAGCGACACCTTCATAGGGTCTACTTGGATGAACCTCTGGCAAGGCATCACGAGATTCTGAGAAATCCATCTCCAAAAAGTCCGGAGTTTTCTCCTGAAACCGTTTAGTTGAAACAGCCCAAAAGTTCAAAAAAAACTGACCATCGCTGCAAGAGGAGCCTCCCGAACTGGAGTAATTGGATAATCCCTCAGCGATTTTGTAGGACTTCTCATAAGCGACTTGTTAGGGCTTTTGCTCATGAAGTCGAACGCATCGTCGATGAAACGTGACATATTTGTGCCATTGTCAAGCTCATTGATAGATTCATCGTTCTCAATTACGATTTCTTCTTCGATTGTTTCTGGCTCCTCAGTCACCATTTTTGTTGGAGAAAGCTCGTGTTGGGCTGTCTCTCCCCCACAGTATCTGGGACTCTTTGCACATGGAGAATCCATATCTTGCTGTAATAAATCATTTAAAATAAGTACCATTGATACAAATTTACATTTGCATAAGTCTTCCGCTCATTTAGAGGTGTGGTTACTGCACTTCCAGTATCTCCATATGTTTTGTAAGCAGAACCACCTTTGGAGGGTATCGCTGTATCGCGTATACGGATCGCAGTTTTGACCAAAGAATCCTCTGATTCATCGGGATGAATCGGAGTACCTGTTAGGGATGAAAACTGAACAACACAGTATAAACCGCCAATTTCTTTGTCTCCTACCTCCCAACGATTCTTCAAACTTTTCAAATTTGATGCTCTCACATCTGGTTTAGTTGGCTCACATGGATCTTTTCCAACAACCACGGGAGTGCCAGTCGCCCCTCTCCACTGTGTTTTAATTGGACTCTTATCTTGTCGGGGTGTAACTTCCCGATTAACAATTTGAGTCGGAATGAATGTTGTTTTGGGTGTGGGCACCTGCAAGCACGGCTTATACGACAGTTGATTATACGGTAGCTTACTGAGACAGGGGCACCCTTCAACTTCTGCTCTAACTGTTGAGCGATAGTTTTAGCTTTTGCGTTTTCAATCGCAACACTTCTAGCAGGAGACAAACTTGTTCCGGAAGCATGAGAGATCTGAATTTCATTTTAATGAAACAAATAATAAACTTTGAATGCTCACTCCTATCGCAGCAGGTGTTGTGGGAGTACAAGATGCAAACTTGGCACTATTTTCAAGCTCATCGACAAAATCTCTTCTGTTCAGAACGGGGTTGAGCTTTTTCTCTCCAACCTCAATTTCGGTTGTGATTGCTTTGAAAATCTTAATTGAAGATTCTTGAACTTTAGGAGATGATGTGTTAGTTGGGTTCTGAAAGTTGAAAAATCAAGTTGATAAAACAGTTCAAATGCTTACAAATTGTACAGGAGAAAAGTGGCTGCTGCTTCCACCACGCACCTGAAACTTTCTATAAATTTCGCTTTCATCTAAAAGACTTACGAAAGGTTTGGGCGAGCAAATCTTGATTGACGACGATGATTCACTTTTTGTGGGTGTTTTCTGAATATTCGACCGATGATCAAGATAAGTTTGCAGCTGCTATACCTTTCTCATGAACATATGAGCCCCACATTCCTCTTCTGGCTGACGAGGTTCCGGAGCCGGCAAGGTTGAATCGGATAAAGTAATAACGGACGTTTCAGTTTGCTAAAACAAAAAAAGTTTCAATCTGTGGGCATTAAGTTAGTCAATTACACTGTAGGTCATTGATGAATCATCTATGAAATTGGTAGTTGCCGATATTGGATGTGCAAAGCGGATCCGACGATCATCATTCAAAGACAGACGTCCAGGTGCTAAATAATGCTATTAGATGAGAACAATCTGCTATGACAACATACAGTTAGTTTTGTTTAGGTCACTTCGAGTACTTTCCCCTAAAATTGATCTGTTAGGTGAACGCATCTGATTGAAACCGGCGGGTGTGCACAATACAGAAGATCTTGTCTATATAATATGAGATAAGACGAATATTCAAATACAAAATAATAAAATACCTCTCCGATACTCAAACGGGGAGATTTTCCTTTCAAATACGCCTCTTTAGGTTTTTCTTTTTGAGGAGAGCATACAAAATCATCAAGGTCCTCAGCCAGAGCCGCAAAGGTAGATTTAGACTTACTTGAATCAATCTAACAAAATGGTAATCGGAATCACTCTTCGGAAGCTTTCTTACCGCCGATTCTTCTGGGATTGTGTCTGATGGAGGTGGGGGTGGGGGGTTGTTCCAGGGCTTTAGAGGAGAGTCGACAGGCTTTATAACTGATAATGAGATGCAATAGAAAAAATGAAGTAGAGATTAAGAACCTGTTGAAATATTAACGCGTTGTTCCTTGTTTTCCTTAACTCTCATGTTCTCTTTAGGGTCTTCATTCTCATTCAATTCCATTTTTCTCTGTCTCACACGCTCCATAATTCTCTGAACAGTGGTTGTTCGAAAAAAATATTAAAAAAAACAAAATACCTCCGTGCTTTCTTCTAAATTCATGTTTATGGACTCACTTTACAATAGATTAATAATAAAAAAGCTGAAAAAGAAGAATTTATTCAATTAGACGCACAGTAACAGCGGCGCAATTCAAATAATAATTATTCCCGCCCAAACATTTATACAGAGACGCCCACGTCTCGAAGCAAAGCCAAGCCATCAAGCCACGCCCATAAACAGAGAAAAGAAACAGAAGGCAATGAGTTTTATTAATAGAGCCGTATAAGATCAGATCGGGAATTAATGAATCAAATTTGATAATTTAGAACGTGATATAACATGAGTAGTGAACAGATCAAGTATGAGATTGCTGGGCAATAGTGAAGATCGTCTCAAGCAAACCGATGGTCTTATGGTATCGAGCTTTACGCCTCCTTTGGTGATCAAGCCAACTAAACCAATTGCTTGCAATTGAAAAAACGATTAAAATAATAATCACCTCTTCTTCACGGATCTCCAGTGTCTGGCGTATTCGTTTCTTAACCCATCAATGTCTTCGGCATTAATGTGTGTGTTCAGCTGGTCCAGGCTATCTCTGTTCGGATATTCAGTATCAACTAAATAAGGCGAATCAGCACGAGGCAGAGCAACGACATCTTTGGTTGCTAATAAATCCTGAATATATATTTACATGTATACAATAAATCCATCTGTTGCATTTCATACCATCGAAACAGTAGGATCACATTCGGGTATAACTACAGGAGAATCCTCCTCAGCAGGTTTTCCTCTCATCCATGACCTCACTAACTGATACTCGGTAGACTCTTGTCCTTCTTTCAATACAAAGCTTTTACCTCGTAATTCAAAAATAACCTCTGAAAAGGTGAAGATTCAGTTTTGCGTGACAATGTAAGATTTGACCTCCAGTTTTGCTCTTTGTTGTGGACGTTGGAAGCTTTCTGGGTCTTCCCGGTCCTCGTCTATCAATTTCCTCACTTAAATTCAGGAATTTTTCAAAGAAAAACTGAGATTTAAAGACCGTTTTTGCTCAGTGTTGGTTGCCAGAGAAGGAGCATCACCTTTCCTGATTGAAGTCAGAAGAGTTCCTAATCTATTTCTAGCAAATTTCATATCTGGTGACTCGGGTGGCTCAGTTTCTTCTGTTAGGCGAGCACTACAAATAGCTGATTGGAACGACTACTCCATTTTGTCGAAACCTAATTTTCTTAGTAGGGGAAACAGGAGTGACCATATCCTCGATAGTAGCAATGGAGGGCTTGCTCTCTGGCAGGACAAACTCCTCTACCGGTCCCTCTTCAGCCATTTCGTATTGGGAATTCACGGAATCCATCTAGGCAATTGTTAAAAGTTGAACTTAGCAGTACAAGGTATTTGCATATGATATTTACTGTTGTGAGATATGACATGGTTACGTATAATGTTTATTAATAACCATTTACTGACTCAGTAATAAATTAATAACAAGTAAGAAGTGTAAAACATTCAATCCCGCTTCATTGGTTGAGTGCCCCAATTGGCGTATGTGAAAATGGTACCGGCAGAAACAAGAGCAGTATAAACAAAGCGAGCAACAACAAGTGACCAGGAGGTAATATGGAAAACCGAGTAAAACAGTCTGGAATGAGATGAGTTATCATCTGTATTATTACCAATCCTTACTCATAAGCAAACGAATGGAGAACAGCAGCTGACAAGAAAACAGCGATTAATCCACGATGACCATTACGAGCAGCCATCCATGTTAGTGCAGCCATTGACAAAAACAGAAGTAAGTCAGAAGAAGAGTCGAAAGCGGTTTGAATCCAACGCCATGAGAAGGCGGAAGCTCTGAAAGAATGTTGTTGATTGACGAAGACAGTATTACAATAGATTAATCCATCAACCTTAATCAACTTTTGGTTATTTTTTATTTATTTTAATTTACCACGTATCGCAATTACTTGAGACGTTTAAAAACAACGTTAAGCAGATCAAGCGTGGATTTCACTCGAGTAATTAGAATGAGCGCTTACCTAGCTCCAACCCAGAAGATAATCAGTCGACTTGCTATTGAATGAGCGAAGCCCCAGCCTAATCCTCCAGATAAGAACCGAACCTGAATTACAGAATCTTTTCAAAGCTTCAAAATGTTTTTAATACTTGTCCAGTTCCTGTGAGAATGTTGCTCATGACAACATGCAACCCGATTACATCAACAACGTCAGCTACACTCTTGAGAAGTTCCTAAAACGGGATAAGTTCGGTACAAATAGAAATTTTAGAACATACAGGGAGGAAAGCGAATTCATCATGATCATCGCTATCTGGGAAGAAGGTAGCCAAAAGCAGAAGCTTGACCAGTTGCGTCAAGAAGTAACCTATAGCTGATTGAACGCATTTCCAAACAGAACTGTACTCGTTTAACCCTAGAAAAAGGAAAGAAACTCAAGATTTAAGCAGTGTGAGAGTCTTACCTGAGTATTTGTACACAATGACATAAGGAGCGTAAGCGAGGCCCAAACAATTGAGAAAATGGAAGAACGCCATTCCCCACTCTGGAGCAAATAGATCAATACAAAACTTACAATAGAAAATACAATGTACAAAACATCAGTTTCATAAATGTGAGATCAAGAAAAAAAACTATTCCAGTTTATTACGAAAAAAAAATTGAAATTGATATAATTTAAACGAATTAACATGGAACTTGGGCATTGCTGCCGGTTAGCGGGCAGAGGTATTTAAAGGATTTCTGTTGGTGTGAGACAGAGCGCGTTCTATGCTGGTGTTGCTGTAAAGAATTTATTATTCCGCCCATGATACAATATCCTACTTCATGTACTTTTGGCCAACAAATTTTACTTGATAACCCTTCCATGAAGAACTGTCACTGCTATTAGCCTCTTCCTCCTGAAGATTAACATTCAAGAAAGAACTCAAAGCATAATAACCTTTTCTGGTTTCACCCGAGGAGTTGAGTCGGAAACCTGAAAATTTTCAAAAGAACTCTACTTACAAACGGCAATTACTTACTTTTCTGACATTGGATTTGTCTTTTTCTTTATCAGATATTTTGGATATCAAAGACTTGGCGAAACTTTTGAAACCAAACCCTCTTCCCTGAAATCATCATGAGAAACGCATTATCATAACCGTATAGAAATCTGTGTTGGATTAGCATATATCATTCATTGTAATCCTGGTTGTTTTCATTTTCAAATGTTACAGCGCGGAGTGCGGTTGCAATTACTCGTCGAACCCTTTCTCTCTACAAGTTAGTACAAACCTTTTTCGGTTGTTCTTCTGATGCATTTGACACCTGAATTTCCACGCAAATTATAAAAACCCATTTTCACACTAAACCTGTAACCCAGCGATTTCTGGAGTTGGTGAGTTAGATTGAACTGACGTGACTTGGTGCTCTTTCTGTTTGTTAGTTTCATTCTGAACTGGTGAATTAGATGTCGTATCGAAGATGATGAACCTTTTTGATGGTACGAGATTTACGTAAACTTGATACTCTGCCTGCAAACCAAACTTATCAATTATCATCAAGTGCAGACCATACCAAATCCGAATCCTTGAACACCGTCTTTTTCGTCCTGCAAATAAATCAGCAACTTAAAGATATAGGAAACCAAAATCTACGTTTTCACCATCTGATCTTTCGTCTGTTTTGCATGAGGTAGTGAAGTAGGAAGCGACGGATTCAACTTCAATGCAAACATAAGATTTTAACACATCAGGGAGAACAAACCTTCGCTTTCAACACCAGCCTGGTAATCATCTTCATCTTCTTCATCACTAGTATCAATCATGATATCTGAGACCGATGTACAAGTTGACTGTTGACAAGATGGTATTTGGGGTGTCCTGAGTCTCTCAGCATTTACTACAGATTCTTGAAGGCATATACACTGGAAAACAATGAAGTTTCACAGAAACTATTAGTTTTCAAATACGTTTTGAGAAAGTTTTAACTTTTCTCCGAAAACTCCTGTGGTTAGTTGTTCCCAACTTTTCGCATACAAAGCCACTGGATCTACTTGAACGGAATAGAACCTTTTGTAGATCTCAGAAGCTTCCACTACCTAAAGAATAAACTTGAGCTCGAGGAACTGAGGGTGGAGAAATACAGCAATGGTTTCTGGATACATCTCTTTTAACAAATGGAAAACATTCTTATACAACGTAGCAAGTGAAGGCTTGTCCCATTTAATAGGATTATTTGAAACTATCTGGAAGGTGTGGGTCTCTTCCCAAACTGTAAAAAAATCATGATCCGGTATAAAAGCGGAAACTCACTTTTGCGCTTCTTAATGTTATCCTTCGATATGAGCATGTACCCATCAGGCAAAGGGACGATGTCCATCTGGGAATAAATCAGTTTTTATTAAAGGTTCTATAGCTCAGAAGAGACCATGTCCGCAAGATACTTGGTGTGAACTGCTACGAGATTGTTTAATCCAAAAAGAGATTCCATTTCGGCCTTGTCCAGGTGTTGATTATACATTTTGTGATAGGCCTCGCGAAATTTACGCAAAGTAACTTTACCGTCAAAATTTTTCAGAATTCTCATAAATCGAGACATTCCTAAAACGCCATCTGATTTACTCTAAATCATTTTCTATACAGTTGAGTTTCAAAAAGCTGTCTATACAGGAGTATGAGGAACGCGTATAGGTGCTCTGACATTTTTTTGCATAGCAGTTGTACCCCTGAAAGACATTCGGTTGAAACTATACTGAGATGCCGGCTGAAGAGAGAATACTAGGTTACAGTTAATGATTTAGTGAATACTTTCGAAGAAGGCGCGTAACTCCTATAGGGTCGAGCACCTCGCTGGAAGGACGGTTTGCCTTTTTTGGATTTCTTTTTCTTTTTCTGTGCTGATATCATCTTTTGTAAAGATTCGGTTTCCTTCGTAACTCTGAGTGGGGTGGATTAGTTAAAAAGGTTCGGAGCCCTCACTTTGCTTTAAACAAAACCTGTCCACCGGCATTTATGAACTGCAAATCGTCATGATCTTTCAATAAGCTCTCCAGACAACTGTATCCGTATTGCTTAAAGTTGATGTCACTGTCGAACATGTCTCTTGAAGTGTTGAGCTAGTCTGTTTCGCATCAGAATAATACTTACTTATAGTCCTTCGCAACCTTGAGAGAGGAACAAGGCTCCGCGAAAGCCATTACGAGACATTTGATCTCGATACGAAGCCTCGACAATCTCAATTCTAAATCACCCATTCCTGAAAACGAAGAAATTTAACACTAAAAATCCATGAACATAACTAGGAAAGGGGTAACGGAGCAACCTTACGTTGAAAGTTCATGAGACTGAGAAATTTTGAAATTATCCAGATCGATTGGAGCACACTTTACCCAAAATCGATAGAAAGTACACGAAATGGCATACGCCATACCTCACCACACTATAATTGACAAACGAATCAAGACTGTAACAAACTTTATTTCTTAACGGTCATATAATGACCACAACAATCACAATTCAAATTCAAAATTCAAGTCGTGAATAAGAAAGTACAGCTTCAACAAGAGGTAAAATTTGAAAAACCTATGAGCATTTTTGCAAAACAAGCAACAATTAATATAACAAGCCAAGCTGTTAGATCACCAGGTTCAAATGACTGAAGGATATTTTGCGATACGTAACAACAAATGGACTATCACTTCCATTCCAATTCAAAAATTTTATAATTAGCGTTCTTGTCTCTCAATCATTTCCTTGTCGATCTGCTTTCTCAAGAACTGTTTGAATGAGAAGATATCTCCATCCCATTTCTTAATAGCTTGATGATCACACACCCAAACTTCTTGGGCAACCTAAAATAATAATAACTCATCAAAACATCATCTTCAGATCAGTATACCTGTGAAACCAATCTGAAATCGTGAGAAACTAGAATCATTCCTCCGGAGAAGCAGTTGATAGCTTCAGCTAAAGCATCGATAGACTCCATATCCAAGTGATTAGTAGGTTCGTCAAGAAGTAATAGATGAGGTTGTTGCCAAGCCAACCAGGCGAAAGATACACGACAACGTTGTCCGTCAGAAAGTTGTTTCATTGGACAAACCTTGAAGAACAGAGCTAATCTCACAACACTGTGTTTAACTTTACCTGCTCACGTCCGGTGATACCATATCGTCCGACGATCTTACGCATTTCTTCTCTCTCCTTGACTTCAGGGAAAGAGCTCATCATGAATTCTAAAGCAGACTTCTCCAGAGGAAGCTCTTCATGAAGATGCTGATGATAACGTCCGATTTTAACGTGAGAGTGTCTTCTGATCAATCCATCTGTAGGCATGACATCTCCACAGAGAAGCTTGAGCAATGTGGACTTTCCAGCTCCATTGGGGCCGACAAGAGCGATTCTAGTGTCCAAATCAATTCCGAAATCGATATCATTATAAATCCAAGGCTGAAAAAACAGATTGTAAATATGGCAAGTCCAGCATCAAACTCACAGTCTGCTCATTATAACGGAAGGAAACATGCTGAACCATGATGACTGGTGGTGGGATCTCACCGGCATCAAAGAAATAGAACTGTTTAACCTTAAGGAAAAGAATTTACAGTCTATTTGATTTTTTCTTGACGTACAGCTTCAGCTGAGACTTTCTCAGTTAATCCTCCAGCAATCATCTTTGCCATAGTCTTTTCTTTGGATTGGGCTTGACGAGCGAGCTTAGCAGAACCGTGACCGAAACGAGCAACGTAGTCCTTGAATTGCCATAAATATATATTGAACACAACACGATGTTACCTTCATGTGCTGAAGCTGTGCTTGTTCCCAATTGTATCTCTTCTGTTGATTTTCAAGCAACTCAAGTCGAGTCTTGATGAAACTGTCGTAATTACCCTAAAGATGAACATGATTGCATCTGAACACATGAGTGTATTTTACCGAATAATAAACAAGTTTTTTTTGGAATAAATGAATAATATTAGTGCAGACACCATTCATGAAATCTTGAGAGTGGGAAACAACGAGAAGGATTCTCTTATACTTGCTCAATTCATCTTCAAGCCATACACAAGCTTCCAAATCAAGATGGTTTGTAGGCTCATCAAGAAGTAAGACGGAAGGCTTTAAGAACAAAGCTCGAGCGAGAGCAATTCTCATTCTCCATCCTCCTGTAATGATCCAGAGTTTGCGAATTACTCATCGCTACAATCACCAACCTGAGAAATCTTTGCATTTTTTCAATTGCATTTTCCTTGAAAATCCTAAACCGTACAAAAGCTCAGCGGCCTTCTTTTCGGCCAAGTTGGCGTCCATGGCATCCAAACGATCATAGACATCCATCAAAGTATCTTGACTCTCTGAAACATCCTTAAACTCTCGAACATTGAATCTTATTACCGTCATCGTCATTTCCTGCGAGATCTTCAGCCAGGGCTTCGAGGCGTTTACGCTCAGAGTCGACATCAATAACAGCTTGCAAAGCAGTCATCTCAGAAGCGGGCATTTCACGAGATACCTGGAAGAACATTGATTGAATAAATAATAACCATGTATAAGTACCAAATACATATCAACATTCTCAGGAATACAAATTTCATGGTTATAAATAGCGTGCATCAAGGTGGATTTTCCTGTAAGAAAGATGGTTTAGGAGCACAAGTGCTTTGATACATACCACTTCCATTAAGTCCGACTAAACCATATCTCGCTCCTCTGTTAAGTTCTAACTTAGTATCGGTAACGATTTCTCTTCCATGGAAAGTAATCTTGAATATTCATTATTGCATACTCATCTACTTGTTCAATTTCGCTTACAGTTAAACCTTCTACTTTGTGATCCAATCCTTTAGGATCTGAAGTTAAAGCTCCAGCAACTGATCTAGCTTGAGCATTTTCGAACTCAATCTTTTTTAAAATCTCTGCAGCTTGATCAATAATTTCTAAAACAAAACAGGGTTAAACATCAGATGGAAAACAAGAAGTACATAAAACATCAGTTGTAAAATAAAGTAAAAAAGGACTAACCATCAACAGGCGTTTCATTTACAGTTGTTGCATTGTTTTGTTTTGTCTCTACTATTTCTTCTTTTTTACCTCCTCCTCTTTTGCCTCCTTTAGCCGCTGCTTTTTTGGCAGCATCTCTGGCTTTTTTAGCATCTGAGGGCATTATAAGAAGTTATTGAACACTAGGTTCTAACTTTATTACCTGAAAATCGGTAAATTTAATAGTGAAACGAATTTTAAATCTTTTGTTGGATTTTATTAGTTATCCCAAAAATATAAGTTGAGAATATGCCAAGATTTAAATTCGCGCTATACCGTGTTTGCATGGATTCGTGGTATTCGCGCCAGGAGCCTCATATACTAAAGAGCGGAATGGTTTAAAAATGTCCAAGATCGCTGAAGAGAAGTAGTGTCTTTGCTTTTGCCGGGTCTCAGTGCGGCTCACGTCTCGTCTTCAATTGCAACATGTCTTCCGATAACAAGGGTTTCAACAGCAAAAAATTCTTCATCGATCTTGCCTCCGGAGGTAAATTTTTAATAATCTAACCTTATACTATGTCTTTTGAATTTTCCGAATTATACTTGTTCTTTTAAGGTACTGCTGCCGCTATCTCTAAGACTGCTGTAGCTCCAATTGAACGTGTCAAGCTTCTTCTCCAAGTAAATTTTTTTCTAAAATTTTTTTTTGACATTTTGTTGTATAGGTTCAAGATGCTTCCACCACCATCGCCGTCGACAAGCGTTACAAGGGTATCATGGATGTCCTCGTCCGTGTTCCTAAGGAGCAAGGATTTGCCGCTCTCTGGAGAGGAAATCTCGCCAACGTCATCAGATACTTCCCTACTCAGGCTTTGAACTTCGCCTTCAAGGATACCTACAAGAAGGTCTTCTTGGACGGACTTGACAAGAAGAAGGACTTCTGGAAATTCTTCGCCGGAAACTTGGCCTCTGGTGGAGCTGCCGGAGCTACCTCTCTCTGCTTCGTCTACCCACTCGACTTCGCTCGTACCCGTCTTGCCGCTGATGTCGGAAAGGCTGAATCCCGTGAATTCAAGGGTCTTGCTGATTGCTTAGTCAAGATCGTCAAGGCTGATGGACCAATTGGACTCTACAGAGGATTCTTCGTCTCCGTCCAAGGTATCATCATCTACCGTGCTGCCTACTTCGGTATGTTCGATACCGCCAAGATGGTCTTCGCTTCTGACAAGAAGCTCAACTTCTTCGCTGCCTGGGGTATCGCTCAAGTAAGTCTTATATTAGTTATGCCATTGCTGATGTAATGAGTTTAGGTTGTCACTGTTGGATCTGGAATCCTTTCTTACCCATGGGACACCGTCCGTCGTCGTATGATGATGCAATCCGGACGCAAAGACGTTCTCTACAAAAACACCCTCGACTGCGCCAGAAAGATCATCGCCAACGAAGGAATGGGAGCTATGTTCAAGGGAGCCCTCTCCAACGTTTTCCGTGGAACTGGAGGAGCCTTGGTCTTGGCTATCTATGATGAAATCCAAAAGTTCATGTAAATTTCAAACCCTGTTTGAGCCCGTTGTTTGTATTCCTCAACTAGCTTTGATTTTTGTCCCACTTTTGCAATGTCGTTAGATGTTACTTTTAATTAACTAGCTATTGTAGACTTGTGGGTAGGGTATTGAAAAATGCGATGTTGTTGCAATTTCCGAGACGTTCTTATAAATGTTTAGTTAAATTAATCTCATTGTCATTGACATGCATGCAGGACATAGTTAGATAGATAGATGATGTTTCCCTCTTTACTTCATTATACTTTATAATAAACGTTCCCGGTTTACATTGTTTATCACTAAACAAACGGTAGAACAAACAGTGAAAGTAGCAAATTTATTTTAAAAACGCAATGAGATCGGTACAGAACTAGGCTTCGACATCCGTGAAGTAGGGATGTCTTAGTGCTGCCTCGGCATCAATCCGTTCCGATGGATTGCACACAAGAAGCCTCTGAAAAGATATATTTACACAAAGATGACGTAATCCATTATCATCTATTCCGCCTGCATAAAAGGAGTTGATAAATGAAACAAAGCCAATCTCCGTTTTCAAGCTTGATAAGAGCAGTTTAAACTGATCGGCAAAGTACACGACTTTGGTCTTTGGCCGCTCGTTCAACACAATCAAGTTACAGGAGTGTCTTACCTGCAAAAGATCTCTGCCCGTATGAGATAAGTTTGGCACAATCTGACCCCATGTCATGGCTGGATGGTATAAGCACATTGGCTAGAGTGCACAAGTTCGTAAAAAACTCTCTTTCTCATATTTACCTTGAAATCAGGTAACTGTGAAACTCCTGGCCAGGATTCATCTGTTGGCGTCCCGAGTTGTTTAAATATTCTCTTAAGTTGGTCGTCTACGTCTGCACCGGGGAAAAGTGGGCGACCTGCGTTAGATATTTCTTAAATTCAGTTTGTTTTATCAGAGTTTGTTCAGTTTTCCAACCAGCAAAGATACAGCCTGCAGACCACATATCAATTGAAGTATTATAAAGTTTCGCTCCAAACAGAACATCCGGTGGACGATACCACAGTGTCACAACCTAGATTATTACTTTCACTGTATTATTTGAGGAAGTTGTTTGTTTACTTCAGCGCTGTAAAACCTAGCTGGAACACCGAAAGCTCGTGCCAAACCGAAATCTGCCAGCTTCAGCTGATTGTTGCTGTTGATAAGCAGATTTTGAGGCTTTAAATCTCGATGCAAAACATGGTGTTGGTGACAATAAGAGAGTCCACATAAAAGCTGCATCATTAACGATTTGGCTTGCTGAATGAATGCAAATTTCTGAAAAAAAAAACTGGCCAACTCTTACTTGCTCATCTACATGTCCATTACAGGAATCGAAAAACTTTTTCAAATCTTGATCACAGTATTCAAAAACTAGCGTCAACTTATTCTCTGAGTGAACTACGTCATATAGTCTAACTACATTCTTGTGTTTCAACTCTCTTAAAATGCAGACTTCTCTTAATGCTGAACTTGGCACACCCTGAAACGCAAATCGAATGTTAAAATTGATTTTTTTGAACACCTCATCGTCATCATCTAATCGCACTCTCTTCAACGCTACGACTTCACCAGTCTCCTTGTTCCTAGCCTTGAAAACAGTTCCGTATGTGCCTGCAATTCGCTTGTTAGTATATTGAGCTAACTCGAAAACAATACCTTCACCAATCTTTTCCAAATTCAAAAATTTCTGCATTGTTTTTATAAAATATCCATTCAATTATATAAACCAGTACGAAAACTAAAAAAGATATCTCTTGAGCGAGCAAAATAGAGATATTGAGCGAATTTTAACAAGCTTGATATGGTAAAGCGCAATTGAATCCTCCGATGTACATAACGGACGCGTAAACAGCATACATAACCATTGAACCCATTTGGGCAAACATCTGTTCCGCGGAGAATCTTATTTATAACATGTCTTATAACCATGCCCTTTATCGTTTCATTGTGTTTCTTTTCATACGAAAAAACAATTAAAAATGATGTTTTTCGTTTCAGAAATGACCAACCAAGTATTGATTAACAACAATGCTCCATGTTTGGGAGCCGGTAAGAAAAAAAAATGCTATATGGCATACTAATCCATTCTTAAAGGATCTGCTGAGCCAAGCCCTCCTGAAGAAGGAGTGGTTCGTATTTACAGCATGCGTTTCTGTCCTTGGGCTCAACGTGCTCTTTTCTATGTAGCCAGACATGGCGTTCGGTAATTGCGCAAAATCAATGCACCCATATACATGAGCAATTTTTTCAAGTTCCGAAGTGATCAATATTGATCTCAAGAATAAGCCTGAGTGGTATTTCAAGATACATCCTAAGGGACAAGTTCCGGCTCTTCAATATAACGGACAAATTGTCTTGGAATCGGCTTTGATTCCTGAGTTCTTGGATGATACATTCCCGGACACGAGAGTGTTGCCAACTGATCCATACCAAAAATATCAGCAAAAATTGATTTATGACCGCTTGTCTTCGGTAACTATCTTTACTGGTTCCTTTAATCAGTTGAAACACAGATCGGTGATGTCCTCTTTGGTCTGGTAGGCGCTGCTAAAAATCCTGAACTAAAGGCTGAAAAGTATGAAGCAGTCGAAAAGTTCTTCGAGTTGGCTGAAAACCAGTTCACTGATGCATTCCTTGGTGGTGCCACTCCTGGATATACCGATTACTTGTTCTTCCCCATATTCGAAAGATTCCGTGGGGTATCTCTGCTCGGATTTGCTCCTTTCTCTCCTGAGAGCTTCCCATCCGCAAAATATCCAAAGCTTCAAGCGTGGTACAAAGCTGTCCAGAAGTTGCCTGAGGTTATACTTACTCAAGAATTCTTTCAGAAAAAAAAACATTTCAGATAAAAGCTGGAAATCAAAACTTTGAAACTACTGTACAATTCATGCAGTTGTTCTTCGCTGGAACTCCAAATTATAACCTTGGACTTTGAAACAGTTTAAGAATCGTAGTGTTCCATAAGCCATCTAGTCTTATTTGTATCAATGTGTATAGTCACCTATAAATAAAGCTAATTATATAAGTCATCCTACACACAAACGTTTTGAATCGTTTGCTTACTCTAAAGGAGATCCGGATACATCATGGTTTATAAAGATATCTGGACGATTTTTTTAAAATCGGTGCGCAACCGTTCTTCTATGAAAGAGTTTAAAGAATGAAAAAAGCCACGCGTGCGCATAATTAGCATATTATTTGAAACGTCTATTGTTTAAGGTCGCTCGCGGTTCTCTGGACGTTTCTAACATAAATGGTTTCAGGAAGTTTAAGTGGATGAAATTTCCGGATGGAAAGGTTATCAGAATTAATAAAAGTAAATGGGGATGTCAAGTGGGAAGGGGAGGGCTTGACGTCATTGTTCTATTCCGGAATCAAGAGAACGCGGAATCAAAGAATGGTATGAAGACCAAATGATGAGTTCTTCTACGCAGACTATGTATAAGACAGTATTATTTAATTTGAATATCTTGTTGTTAGCTCTACGGTGCTCTTCTGTAGCAGGATGTATGGCGACAGATGGGTGAGTTGTTTCAAGTTCTTCTTAAAGCTCAAAGTATAATTTCTCAAAAAAACTAGTCACCATTCTCTGAAACATTAGTTGATGAGCTTAGCCATGTGCTTCTTCGTTCTATACCTAGCAGCTGTTCAGTGTTTTTGTTAATATGCACGACACTAACGTCTAAAATTCCAATCCTCTCGTTTTTGAGGGAATAGTTAGAGCTGAGAGTGTGCATTGTATAGTGAACAAATTGACCGAATGATCGAAAAGCTTCAAATACACTTCTGTTGTTTTTTTTCAATGCTTGAATGATCATGCCTTTGAGTAGCATCTTACGCACTCCTCGTGTAACAGGAAGTGGGGACATGAAATTTAATCTTCAATCTAATATCTCCGTGACGTCATCATTTTCATAAGAATGAGTTCACTTGGAAAGGAAATCGTGTTTGCCCAAAATGGATATTTCGACACCAAATCTTCCTGCTTATCATCAATGCTAAATCTTCTTTTCAGCACTGTACCAGAGACCACAACAACAACTACCACCACGACCACTACTTCCCCAACCACTACAACAACGTAAGGTGCATAACCGTGTTGACGACACAAACTTTCTTTATCAGAACATCACCTACCACTACAACGACGTCACTGACCACCACGACGACATCTCCAACTACTACCACCACCGTGCCAACAACTACCACCACAACCACGATCCCTACCACTACAACAACTACGACCATACCAACGACGACCACTACTACCACTCAGCCAACAACGACAACAACCACTACTACGCCAACAACTACGACGACCACTACGACTCCTACCACTACAACGACTACAACAACTCCAACGACGACCACTACTACTACTACACCAACAACCACGACCACAACCACTACGCCGACAACAACAACTACTACGTTCGTTATCTCAAAGTTCTCTTGCGTTTCAACTGATTCTTTAAAGGACTTCCCCAACGACAACGACAACAACGACCACAACAACTACAACAACTACTACAACGGTACCAACAAGTAAGCAAGCTGCATACATATAACAACACAAACGTGGACTCAGGTTGTACTAGCTGTCCTGACTTAGTAGCCAGCCCTATCACTCCTTTGCCTGGCAGTAGTGATGGCAGGATAGAATTTTCTTATGACGCCAGTTCAGGATGTAACACAGCTACTTATGTTTGTTATGCAGATGCCAATTTAGAAGTTGCTGTTATTGTTGAAACGGTAAGAACATTTAATTATCCTAATTAATTTGCAAAATAGAACACTGGACCTTTCATCCTTAACGGAGGTTGTTCATCAGCACCATTACCCCCTGGATTATTAAGTTGCAATGCTAATGGCCAATGGGTTTTCGCTATAACCGGAGAAACAAATCCGCGTTTAACATGCAGTGTAGCAGCAGGTGGTTGCACAGTTGGAAGATAATCATTAAATAATTGTATATTTTGTAAATAGAACCTAATAAGTTGTTTTGTTATTGTTTATCCTTTGATTCATTATATCAATAAATTGATAATCATCATTTTGTTCTCTTTTCTTCGACTACAATACAGAAGAAAGTAGTTGAAGATAACTAATTGTAAAAAAAACTTCAAAGCCATGTTATGCTTTGATTTAATGATTTCCAATCGAATGCAACCGCTCTACTGATCTACATGATAAGAAATGAAAGTGCCAGGAGTTGCACGCGAAGCACGTGAAATTCAGATGCTAATTTCTAAATACAGAAGCGATATGCACTTTTGAAAATAATTTAATTATGATAGAATTAGTTAAATTATACACTTAACCGCATATATCTGTTGAAGCTATACATGGTTTGTTCCCTGGAGTCAAGTACAGACGAGGTTTCGATCCGTGACACACCTAGAAGAATAACATTTTAGAATTAGAAACTTAAAATGATACTAACACAAACACGGAAAGCATCAATAGAAGCTGCCAAAGCAGGAGAAGGTGACAAAGGTAAACTCTTCGCTGATGATCCAAATACTACTTGGCCCGAGAACCTAATAGCTCCATCTCTCTGTATTAGAAAGTTGACGAAAACGATCTTTTGAACTTTACGTACCGAAGTGTTTAATGCAATTTGCGTACTCGCACTTATTTCATTACTTCTTGATTCCATACGGATACCCTCATTCCCTCGAATAGACAGATTTTCAACTGATATGTTCAGATCTTCATCAATTGGAGCTCTTATCTGCAAAAAGAAAATAAACTCATTAATGTATATGATTCATTCCTACTTTATTTGTTATTATCTTGCTTGTTGAAATTTTCTTTATTCTCTCATCTATGGTAATCAAAGGGTTTTGGGCACTGAAAATGGTTCGGTTCGTGGACGTCATGAGCACCTGTAACACGCTCTTTGGACTTTTTAGCCTATGATATATTTTACTTGAAATTCATCAATGTTTTGGTATTTACAACTGTTATCTTGTAATATGAAGCGTGCACTGTCTTCTTCGCCAGATATCAAAAGCTGAAACAAAGAAACTTCTGAATGAACAATGAAGATGACTAAGCAACCCGTGATCCAGATATTTCAATATTGCCCTCATGATACCCAACTACTTGACCATTCGTTATTACAGTTCCCAAATCAATGTCGTTGCCATTGAATTCCACTACCTATTGTTTTCGTTAAAAGATAATAGGTTGATAGATGACTCACTTTTTCAATTTCACCTGTCTTCTTATCAAGAATGGTGTGAAACCTGAGGAACTTCATTCCATGATGGTCCATTTGCAGTGAGAGAATGATCATTATGTTCATCTAACCAACACAGATGTAAATCAAACTTAAACAACAGTTTTCTTACAATTAGAAGGAAAACGGCGAGAAAAGCTAGAAATCCTAAGCAAACGACCAGTGCTACCAAAGGTTTTTCTCTTAATCCGGCGACCTGTTTGAATATTTGAATTCGAAGAAGGAAAACAGACAAAGCATTCATACCTCAATGGAGTTTCTTCGACTGGCATCATCTGATGCTGATGGAAATGTAGACTCAGAGCCCGATCGAATATAAGCCGGTTGTGTCATATTATTATTATTATTATTATTATGTTTATTATTAGGGATTTAAACAATGTTCTCAAAACATCAATAAGAATCAGATGGTTTAAACTGGCAATCAATAGAAATGGCAGGCTATGGCGAATCTGTGTGTAATATGGATGGCAGTTGGTAGTCGAGTCACAACGTATAAACTAACATTCATTGTAGATTGCATAGTGATTAGTTATTTGGTTAATAATAATAACATTCAAGATTTCAGAATTGAATAAGATATGCTAATACGTTAACTTAAGTTTCGCTTCTCAGTTCTTCTCATTGATGATGGTCAGAATGAACATTCCAAAGATTCCTAAGAAGCATCCGGTGATGATTCCAGCAATTGCCTACAAATATATTTTTT